TGTAGTTTTTGTGAATTTTGTTACATACAGATGGCTCCACATGTGCTCAGTCGGCAAGGAGTCTATCAGTAGGCCATAGTGACCAATCCTGATTTCCCTATTCCTGGAATTTGTTGGAAAATGTGTGTTTTTTTTTAAATACAATTGATATACTGTTATTATTGTTATTTTAGTTATGATTATCAAATTGTTATTAAAATCTTGGTAACATTTAAGAAAATGAAATAATACAAAAGACCCTTTCCAAAACTCAAGGAAAAGGGTAGACAGATACATAGGATTAATAACTGACTCCTTGGTGACTAAGCACCTGTAGAGCCATCTATGTGTAAATACAATAAATATATTTATATTACAGTGGGCATGGCATGTATTCTTGCAATCCATGCCAATTGGGTTAAGAGTAATAAATGTTAAATATAGTGATATGGGAAATGATAGATATGAAGCTGATGTTAGAGCATGAGACAACTACTAAAAGAAACTCAGGTAAATTGCATGATACAATGTTTTGCTTATCACTGCTGCCTTGGTCTATTCACATAAAATTTACATAAACTATTTCATAGCCTAGTTAGGAAAACTCTGGTTCAAAAAATAACTTACATGTTGCAACAGTGGCTATAAAATAATTTACCAATAATACTTTGCACTGAATTATACTACAGGAAAAAGTAACAGTTCTACAAGGCTGATGCACAAAGACAGTAATTTTCTATGCATATTAAGCCAAGTAAAATTCCTATTCCTTAGAGTTGACAGCAGGTGCAGTATACTAGTATTCATCAAAGAGAACCAAAAGAATATAAATTCTTGTATAATTTTCCTGTACAATTTCCAAATTATATATAATCTTTATGTAATTACACAAAGACAAATCTATCAGGCACAAAGTTTCTAGGCCTACCTAATGGCTGATAAGTACCATTAACATTATCATTTTCACTGTTTCTTATTTCTAATTACCATTACTACTGTTATTTTCATTATCATTATTGCTGTAAGCTACTATAAGCCCATCAACAGTATCATGAATATTACCAATACTACCATAACCATTGTCATCATCAGCACTAGCATCACCATCATCATAATCAACAATAATTTCTTTGATAATGATGATGACTGACGATGTAAGCCAACTGCGAAGGATTACTTTAATATAAAGGCTGTTCTCAATAAGTATTTAATTTGAACAAGAGCCGGTGCTTTAACCCTACGCATAAATTTCTATACTCAAGACATTCACTAATAATCATCCTTGCCTTTAAAACTTTTAGTGTGTATGATGTAGCAGGTTTCTGAAATTTCTTTCCATTACACTTCTTTCTTTTTTATATAGGGTTTTAGACTATACTATTGTTTATAATCCCTATCCATTACACGTCCGGTGAACTCCTTCTTCTTTCACAGGGTTTTAGACTTTTTATGCCTATATTCCCTGGATCACCCGGCAAACTTCTTCTTCTTCTTCTTCTTCTTCCTTCTTTCTTCTTTTACAGGGTTTTAGACTTTTTATGTCTATATTCCCTGGATCCCCCGGCGAAGTTCGTGTTTCGCAGACGACGCCGTGTTTATATTCGGAGGCGTTTTTGTAATCTAATCCAGGCCTATCCGGATTGCTCTAGTATCGGAAAAATGTATCATTTACTTGGCGTATATACATGTGTATGTATGTATGCACTCAGTTATATAGTATTTTTGCATATAGATATATCAAAATAGAAAATTCTCCTAATGATTGAGCGCAAACCAAACTTTCATCAAATCAAGAATGTTTGCTAGAAATCGAACCTTTAACTTTAGTTGATGTAACACAAAATACCATTATCATAATGCATCAACATGTTAACTTCTTTCATTTAATCATATAAATAATACATATCAATAAGATGATAATTATATGGATAAGTTTATTCTTAAAAGAAATCAAATATAACAAATTACAACTTATAAAACCTTAAAGTTCGCCGACAGAAAGCCAAAAACGACAACACAATATCATATTACGTTTAAATAACTTCAAAAGGAAATTAATCTTTAAATAATAAAAATAATTACCTCGTACAGTATTATAAAAGGAAAAAAATAAATAAATAACGGAGCAGCAGCAGACGAGGTCCCGAGGAGCGAGCGAGCGGGTCAGCGGCGGCGGCGAGGAGGTCGTGCGTTTCCTCATGTAAAAGTAGCTTATTAGTCGCGTTGTCACTTCTGTGTAGAGTAAGCCAAGCGAAGTAAGTAGTGTGGCTCGTGAAAAAAAACAATATCTTTTAAACGGGTGTGGGAAATAGTACACTTGGGACTTGGTCTTTAC